AAAAAAAAAAAAAAAAAAAAAAAGAAGAAGAAGAAGAAGAAGTCAGGCTTGGTAGTTCTATTATATTTTGGTTGTGAGCCTAGCCTTTAACGGCTGAGCCATCTCTCCAGCCCTGGTAGTGTGTTATAATCCCAGCACTAGTGAGGCAAAGACTGGCAGACTCCTAGGGGTTCTAGTCAACCAGTGCACTTACTTGTGGAGTTCCAGGCCAGTCAGACCCTGTCTTGCAAGAATAAGGAACTATATCTTAGGCTATTCTCTGGAGTGCACGTGAGTATACACACGCACACACACACACACACATACAGACACACTATCTTCTTGCTGACCCAGAGATTTGTGTGTGCTAAAATGTCTCCACGTCTCAAATTGTTATCGTGACTGCAACGGTGACATCTTCCGAAGCTCTTTATTTTTTTTAAATTAATTTTTTATTGGATATTTTATTTACATTTCAGATCTTATCCCCTTTCCCCATTTCCTCCCAACCCAGAAACCCCCTACCCCATCCCCCCCACACCTTCCGCAGCTCTTATCAGATGGAGGGAGAACTCAGATGAACCAGGTAGACGCACCAACAGGAAGTGTTTTTAGGTGGGACAGTTTCTGCTGCTACAGCAAGTATCTTTCAACTCTGTTTTTTTTTTTAAAGAAAAAAAGAGAGAGAGAAAAAAAAAAAACAAGATAAACCACAGAAACGTTAGTGGGCTTGCAGTCATGTGCAGGGCTGAAGACACGCTCTTTCAGTATGATGTCCCACTGTCTCTAGGGCTCTTCCTGTTCCCTGTAAGGTGCTGATACTTTCATGGGTGCACTTGGGTTTGTTCTCCTGCTTCTCTGGTTCTCCATGGCATCCGCCAGTCAGCCTGCTACTTGGAATAATAGAATGAAGCTGTGGGGAATTCTCATGTTACTGCCCAGCCTGCTGCTCCTTGCAGTATACCCAGTCAATGGTGCTTACTATACTGGTCTCACTGGTGAATGCATTCACTGCCCACATGGCCTAAAGCAGCCGTTCTCAATCTATAGATTGAGACCCCTTTGGAGGTCAGATGACCCCTTCATATGGGTCACCTAAGAACATCAGAAAACACAGCTATTTACCTTACAATTCCATAACAGTAGTGAAACTACAATTATGAAATATCAATGAAATAGTTCTATAACTGGGGATCATTACAACATGAGGAACTGTATTCAAGAGTTGCAGAAACATTAGGAAGGTTGAGAAATGCTGGTCTAAAGGGTGAATATATTTACCTCCCACAGTCCCTTCCTCACCACTATGACAGCTAGTCAACTACAAGACTGTGTTCCCCCCCCCAAAAAAAAAAGAAGCCAAGTCTGCTGGTCTGAGTAAGAATGGTCCCTATAGGCTCATATCTTTGAGTGCTTAGTCTTCCAGGAGTGGCACTACTTAGGAGGGATTAGGAGGTATGGCCTTGTTAAGAAAGTGTGTCACTGGGGGATGGGCTTTGAGATTTCAGAAGCCCAAGCCAGGCCCGGTGGTTCTCTTCCTGCTGCCTGGGGTTCCAGACACAGAACTCCCAGTTCCTTCTCCAGTGCCATGTCTGCTTGTGTACCACCATTGATGATATTGGACTGCCCCTTTGAAACTCTGAGCTAGCCCCAATTAAATGCTTTCTCTAAGGAGAGCTGCCATGGTCATGGTGTCTCCTCACAGTGATAGAATGGTGACCTGGACACCAGCCACGGTGGTACAAGCTTTTAAGCCCAGAGGCAGAGGCAGGTGATTCTCTGAGTTCAAGGCCAGTTTGGTCTACATAAGAGTTTCTGGTCTATCAGGGCTACAAAACCAGACCCAGTTTCAAAACAATAAGAAAAAAAATAAAGTTTGGGTAATCTCACTGTATTTCATTCCCAGGTCATCAAAAACAAAAATAAATTAATTAAAACAGTTTTGTGCATTATTTCTCTGCCCTCTCTCATTCAACAAAGCAAGGATGCCTTCCATATACCCATTGGATTTTGTTAATCACTACACTGCAGTCAAGGCTCCATAAAAGGTCAAAGAAATAGAGGCTTAAAGAGGTGTTTCAGAGGGGCTGGAAAGATGGCTCAGTGGTTAAGAGCACTGACTGCTCTTCCAAAGGTCCCGAGTTCAATTCCCAGCAACCACATGGTGGCCCACAACCATCTGTAATGGGATCCGATGACCTCTTCTGGTGTGTCTGAAAAAAGCAACAGTGTGCTCATATACATAAAATAAAATTTTAAAAAAGAGGCATTTCAGAGAACCTTCTGAGAGAATCCCTTTTAACTGTGAGGGAGATATGAATAGAAGTTCAGGAGATGCTCATGGGGGGAGCAGTGCCACACAGCCTTGGGTCAACCATGGCTGGAAATCCCAAACACCACTGTAAACAGCTTCTTACCTTCTGCCATTATCTGTGGCTTCTCAGAAGCAGGCCCACAAGCTCCCCTAAAATATATATATATATCACCGGGCAGTGGTGATGCAAGCCTTTAATCCCAGCACTTGGGAGGCAGAGGCAGGTGGATTTCTGAGTTCGAGGCCAGCCAGGTCTACAGAGTGAGTTCCAGGACAGCCAGGACTACACAGAGAAACCCTGTCTTGAAAAGAAAAAAAAAAACAATATATATATTTATCTGGAGACCTTCCTGGTGAATCATCTCCAAGTTTGCACTTTTGGACAACAAAATGAGTCCAGACAGCCGGTGTTAACAAGAATTCCTGGAAAGAAGCTTGTGTCTGCAACAGCTGGACAGATTAAGACTGCAGTGGTAGGGGGTGGGGGGTTGGAATGTTGCAGGTCCTGTGATAATTGCCTTATCTCAGGCTATCCTGTCCCTGCCCCCTCCCACAGCAATTCCTCTGTGTCTGGTTAGCAACTTAACAACCTTTGAGTAATAAACTGGAAATCTCTGGAATCTTCTAACTTAGCAGATCACAGGCTTCCAGGACTCAAAAGCTAAGAATGTCATCTGACATCACGGGAGGCCTGTAGAAACTTCCACCAGCCTGCTAGAGCTGCCTCTCTCTGAGGCACCCGCTGATGTGCTTGAAGCTTCCCTTGACTTATGACTCTTTGTTCTGTAAAACTATAGAACTGCTTTCACAGGAAACACCAAGTTTGGCTTAACCTAAACTGTGTTCCAGGGCCATCTGTGGTCACTCAAATTTGGCTCCAGAATGAAAGAACTCTAGCCAGCTTGAGCATGGCTAATGTGGTTCTGGCAAGTTTTGCCCTTCCCCCATTCCCTCTGCCTGGGGGTGGTGGGGGGATGTTAGATCACGTTCCTAAAGCTAGTTTACTATTCCCCTTTCTGACTACTTCCTCCTGAGGCTGACTACCAAGGTCTACCCAGAGGCCCGAATCTGGGACAAATACCCCTTCCTCTCTCCCTGGTTCCCTTCCCCTTCTACCTCGGACTCTATCTCCTGTCTTTGTCTCTCTGGGGTAAATAAATCTTTGTGCTGAGAATTTGGTGTTGGGCCTCCTGAGCCAATACAGACCCTTTCACAGAATAAACTATTTCTAATTCTTTTTAAGATGAGAGCTGTGCTTAGGAGTGGGGTTCTTTTTATTTTGTTTTTGAATTAGATTTGATTTTTTTTCTTGTTAAAAAAAAAAAAAAACGAAACAAAACAAGCATTCTGGGCAGCGATGGCACATGCCTTTCTTTAATCCCAGCACTTGGGAGTCGGAGGCAGGTGGATTTCTGAGTTCGAGGCCTGCCTGGTCTACAGAGTGAGTTCCAGGACAGCCAGGGCTACACAGAGAAAGAAACCCTGTCTCAACAAAACAAAAACCAAAATAACACAAACAAACATAGTGTTGCATACTTTTAATGCCAGGATATAGGATGGGCTGGCATGTTTGA